ATGGAGGAAGCTGTTTGGTTCTGCCTATAATATACACAATCTACAATTACAGCCGAATGCTAATGGTTCCGCTTCACTTTGTTCGGTCTTGGTGGGCCAGGACTGTCTCCGAAGCTGGAGCAGTAGGTCTTCGTATAATAGGGTACAGTTGATTTAAGACCGTTAGATGTGAGGAGGGCAAATATCCCTGGACCAGGCTCTATCTTTCTATGGGTTCTTATTTCCGACGGCGCAGTTGGGAGAATCTAGCTTCTTCTGGCCGACCATTATTCAATAGTCCATGGGAGATTTCCGGCTCAAGGTCTCGCTCGCCCGCTGCGGCCGTGTGTTGTTGGAGCGATCGTTGGGGTGCGGGTACCGTACTGTACTCGTGCTGTACTGGAATAGTACGAGTACAGTACCGGTACCATACAGTACGTCCATCAAAGTTGCCTGACATTGCCCCCACGGCGGATAATAAGGTATGTAAGCGGTGGAATAAGGGTATAATCGCCGAAACAAAGCACGGTGGTACAGTACGATGGCTTTCTCGCCTTCCAGGTCTTTTCTGGGATGGCCTTTTGCCTGCGGAGCCAGATAATGCACTTTGGACGGTTAGGGTAACATCCGGACATCCGCTCACCCCCTTCATAAAAAACCTTCGAGCGACATGGGTTGTCTGTTCATCCTAGTATGGAGTTTTTTTCTTTTTTCTCTTCGAACACGGTTCCCCGGTTACAATAAGGATGCCTGCAGATTTCGGCGGTAAGTTTTATGGTAAACCTTTTCTCTTTTTATATGGAGGTGGCGACGCAGGATGTTTCTAGAAACCATTGCGGAAACAACTTCGTTGTGGACGATCCTTGGGATCAACTAACACCCTTACAATCAGAAGCAGAAGCTCATGGCAGTTCACAACCAACAATCACCAACTGGTCACCATATCTGAAAGAGGCGGGAGAAGAATGAAGGTTTGTGTCAGCTTCTATATTCCGGGACATCTCATCGAGGCAACATCCTTCGTCTCCACCTTCTATCATACCATATGTATCCTCAGGATTGGTTTGTGGTTGTGGAGGTGGTCAGGAACCCCACTCTGACGCTTACCCCCCCCATCCTGCTCAAGGCTTAACCCCGCATTCTTCCCATCCCTTCTTGCTTGTACCTTATGCACAACAGACCTCATCCTTCCCTTGTCGCCCCCTTTCCTACGCCCGTCATATCATAAGCGCCGCTGCGAATACACGAAACTAGGCTCCGATCCCCCGCGTTGTGGGGGTATTCATTCTAGAACACCTTGATTCTTCACGACATGTCAGTCATCATATCATACTTGTACCAGGTATCTCTTACCATAGGGTAAGACGTTGGCAGCGGGGCTAGAGTCGGGGAGGGGGGGTTTCTATCATTATTATCATTATTATCATCATTATTATTATTTATCGGTCTAGTTACATTGATTTTGGGCATATAAGTTAAACAAGCACTTCCTAGAGCGCAAGCCGCCACTCATATATAATATATCCAAACTATAGCGTCAATACGCCCAAGTCTGTAAACCCACCTTCCATTATCTCCGTCAATAGCCTACCCACGGTAGGCCTTCCTAGATGCAACTCACGGGACCACCATACCGCCGTCAACTGCTCCCGAGACGTTAAGGGACCGATCGAATCATCATCTCATACAAACCATGTCACTGCAGTCGCTTCCATTTTTCTACCATAACACGCCATATGAAACCATCCGGCAACACAATCATATCACCCACTTTATTCCACTTTCGTACCCTCACAAGCACTCTACAGTACAGCACAGCGCCGCGAATTCCATGCTCATCCTTGCCATATCACATCATACCCTCACCGCGACCATCAGCAAACACTGCGATACCGAAAAATCCCCTGCCCCGCTGCGGAAATTGCTAGGAGGTTTGGATCGGGAGCGGATCACGAGCGCGCACTTCCGGATCACGAGTAAAGTGGACGCGAGTTGGCGTAAAGAAGGAAAGAGATAGAGAGAGAGGGGTGATCTCCAGTACTTGTACTTGAATCATATCTGGAAATACGATTGTTACACGATTGCCTGACCAGCGCAAACCCCCCCACCCTGCTTGATTTTCGTGTACTTTACATGCTGGTATAATAAGTTTGCTTATGCTAGATACAAGTACGATACTAAAGAACTCCAGTAGACTTTGAGTGAGTGCCCCCCGAGCGTAAAAAATGAAGTGCGTGTACTCTCTCCGTCCCTGAGAATTTGCCTAAAGAAAACGGAGTTCCCTTCCCCTTCCCTTCGTATAGGTAGGTAGGTAGGCATCCATCAATCCACCCCCCGACGCTGAGAAATAAAGATACTCACCATTCCAACTCGGATAGGAAAGCGGTGCGCCGTGATAATATTATGTCGCTGCACCACCCCGTCCCCTCTGGTAAGGTCTGTCATTTCTCGCTTTCCGCCCTCCTCTTCCCGAAGCGGGGAATTCTCGACTAAGCTACACGGCACGCGGTTCTCTTATTCGAGTTAATACCGTACTGTACATACTTATCGCTGCACGGGTATGGTGATAGCGGTTATGGAACACGTGCCCTAAGGGAGAGTCTCGTGTATTATATGTACCCTGACTTAATGTTTTCGGGTCGGGTACCCGTCTCACTTCCCTGAGCTAACTTCCAAAGAAAGGGGAAGGCGTACTGGCACGGGGGGGGGCTCGTTCTTGTAGGCTTCTGGTGCACCCTGTTTTATCACGCAAGGGGGACTGGACGAGGCAGACTGTGGGTATCATGGGTAGGGGGAGGCGGTGGGATTACCGAGTATGTTTGCCCTTATTGTTGGAAATTTCGGTTGATCGAACGGTAATGTCAATAATTGCTACGAGGGTTTTTACAGAACTAGAGGAGGATGGTGTGAAAAGAGAGAGAATATAATCGATATTATGGGCTAAGGGTCAAGCGCAAGAAGAGAGAACTAGGAAAAGGAAAAGGTGTGTGTGAATTGATGACAAACCCGAGAAGTATCATACTCGGATTGATCCTCTTGAGAATTATTCTGAGAGAAAGAAAAGAAAGCAAACATGAGGCGCAGACCTGTCTGCCAGGTGTCAGAGGTACGTAAACAGTCGTGTATATCTGTGAATGTTCTCAACACCTGTACTCGAGTACGTAACCGTTGTCATATTTCAACATTTATTGTAGCAACAGTGCAGATTGTAGTAACAGCGTAGATTCAGAGGTGAAAAGAATCCTTGTAGTTCTTAGATACAGGAGAAGGAAGGACAAGGCTTCTTATAAACTGAGGACTAGTGTACAGAGATTTCCTAGTGTCCTCCAAGTCTCAACCGTGTCCTCTAAGTCTCAACCGTGTTCTCTAAGTCTCAACCGTGTTCTCTAAGTCTCAACCGTGTCCTCTGAGTCTCAACCGTGTCCTCAGAGTCTGAACCCTGACCCTGTCGGATAATGAGACTCCTTACAACATTTATGGTCAAGTTGGGGCGAGTGATTCTTGGTGGTTGAGGTGTGTGGTATGTAGGAGGGTTTGTATGCATGCATGTATGTATGTATATTGGTCTCTGCCTAATGGAGGTATATATGGGGTGTTGATCTAATGAGTAATCAATGTCCGAATATTTAACTCTTTTTGTTTGTGCGTGTTCTGGTTTTTTTCGCTGTGATTTTCGCTCACGGGGTGGTCGTGCTGGTGCCCTTGGTGGGTGTATACAAGTTGGCATGACACTAGATAAGGGCATTTCTTGATTGGTAGTCTTAGGGAGGATTTGGGAGCTCTTCTACTAATCGGTTATGCGTCTGGGGATGGGTTGGTCTGTTTCTAGCGGTTTCCGTCTCTTTGGGTTGCTGTAGAGATAGTTGTGCGCAAAGCCTAGGTGGGGTGGCTCCCAGTACGGTTTCTTCGCCACCTAGGAATTACATGGGAGTAAATCGGTTGTCTAGAGGTGCTTGTTCACATATCGTTCGACTGCTGGAGAAGCGCGCTAAACATTAGGTACCACTTGCTGTATAAAGCCTTACGGTGGGTGCTACGAGAAAAGCATCCTGTTTCGATATTCGGAGGACAGAGGATAGATAGGCAAGCGTTGGCAGTCATAGCAGTATATTGAATCCCATCTAATTCCGGAAGCAAGAAGGGATTGTGAAAGTTGAGGATTCAAATGGGGAAGAAAAAGTATGCTAGAAGGGGTGGTGGAAGTGCCTTGCTCGGCTTTCTACATGGGATAAACATGTCCATCAGGTACGTAAAAACTCTCCCAGATTCCGTACCCCGATATATAGGCATGCCTCTCGCACAACCCCCGGCATGGTAGGCTGGATGGAAGGGAAAAAGCACATATCAGGTTTTTGATACCGTGGAGTAGTTGGCGGGCGGTGCCCTCAATTCCGGGGCCGCGAGACAAAACGGGGTGCTCCTGCGATCATTGATTCCTGTAGGACCACCATTTCCTTTCAAGCCATGTTCATTTTGGCGGGCTGGAACCTTTAGCGATATCATAACAAGAAAGGTTGTTCAAGTGCAATATCATTCACTATATCATACGGCAGTAATCACTGCCCGGCTATTAGCAAAATCGGATGGTGCAGGAAGACGTATTTTGCTATGCTATGGGGCTCAAGAAGTTGGAGAGGCCTATATAGGGGTACAAGAGTATTCTCTGGAGACCTTAAACGATGTTGGCATGTAATAAGATCGATCCGGGTTGACAGAAAGAGGGAAAAACTAATCGACGCACAGCGAACCGACCACGACTAAAGGAAGGAATGTGGTGAAATTGATTGTAACCTGTGCTCCGAGTATTATTTCCGTGCAACCTAATGTGCATCCTATCCAACGCTATCTCGATACGAGGCAGGGGATTCCGAACAAGATCTCGCACGATATCCGGCAGGTGAAAGCAGCTGATACAGTGAAATTCGAGTGAGACTGTATGATTATCTACCAACCGGAGAAACAGATATTTTCTCCGGGTCGAAAATCGACACTAGAACCCAAAATACAAGGAAATCTCTCACTGGGCTTCTAAACCTAACCTATATTCGGTGTATATATATCAAGATTGCCATAAACTTCATTACGATACCTACATCAGTGGATATGCTACCTCATGCACATAACACAAGAGAACAGTCCAGACGAATTAGGTAACGGTATAACCACCGTCAACTCTCAGGTCCGCCCCGGTAACGTAATTACTCGCGCCGCTGGCTAGGAATACAACCGCGCCCATCAAATCCTCCGGGTTACCTATTCTCCCTTGAGGAATCAAGCTTGTCCACTTGGCGTTCAAATCCGGATTGTCGTCCAAAATCTTTCTCGTCCTGGTAACCATTAGCACACAATCCCCCATAAGCAGGAGCAGGGTGCGTACAAAGCCGTAAGCATGTACCCGGGCGAAATACAATTAACCCTAATCCCATGCGGTGCCCACTCGACGGCTAGACTACTAGCTAGATGTCTAACAGCGGCTTTCGCAGCATTATACGGCGCCTGTGGCTGCGGGATATTCACAATGCTCCCACTCATGCTCCCGATGAAGACCATGCTACCAGGGCGCTTCCGCTCGATCATGTGTTTCGCAACCTCCACAGCGCAGAAGTACGTTCCATCGACATTCACGCCCCAGAGCTTCTGCATGCGGTCATGCGGGTAGTCCTCCGCTTTGAAAGTCTCGGTGAAGCCGGCGGAAGTCACGAGAATGTCTATGTGCGAGTTGTGCTGGGTGAGGATTTCCGAGATGGTAGAGCGGACGGAGGTTGGGGAGGAGACGTCGGATGTGTGGGCGGTTATTGTTGGGAGGCTGTGGGGAGGAAGGGTATATTAGTGGGAAGGGCAGGAGGGGGAGGAGTCGGGATGGGGGGGGGGGTGCTAACCATTCAGCATCGGGATTCTCACCCTTGAAATGCTCAAGGAGGTTTTTGGCGGACTTTACTGCTTCCTCACCTGTACACATACCACAATCCCTAGATCAGATCCCCTCCCTTCGCTTCAATCTCTAAAAGAGAAGGGCACCAACCATCCAAGTCCACAATCGCAGCATCAGCTCCAGACTCAACAAGTGCCTGGGTCATCACATACCCCAAGCTATACAACAAAGCCCAGCACCGTTCATCAGCAATCGCTCCCTCTCTCCCTCCATCGAAGAGAAACAGTAAACGAACCCTCTAGCACCCCCAGTAACCACCGCGACTTTTCCTTCCAGCGAAAAACTCTTCAGTGTCCGCCTATACCTCCGCACAGGATTACTCGACGGCAAATCCCACCCGGCTGGGTAGTCCATGTTGATGGACGGATCTGTGCGAGCGAACTGTCCGGGCTTGGTCTCACCGTCGTCTTTCCATAGGGGGCGAGTTGTGGAGACCGAGCGTACTATTGTTGGCATTGGGATGATGGCGCCCCTGGACCTTTGCAGAGGTCTAGCTCTGCGGAGGCGGGATGCTGCTCTGAACATGATGCCGCACTCGATCAGATTGGGAGGAGGGGGGTGACGGGGATGATAGAGGGTTTATATTGTTGCGGGTACGAGCAGTGTGGACGTCGGGATAATACCTCCCGTGTGAAGAAAGGGGCAGGCAAATCCAGCTAACAAGATGTTTGATATCGTGATGTTGGGCCCCGTTGTTTACAACCCCGCCATTGCCCCACATGTGATTGTATGACAAGTTACATTTCTGTGCGAGTACTGGACGGTACTCGAGTACTCGAGTATGGTACGGTACCCTGTATCCCCCTCCCCCCTTGGCGAGGTGGTTCCACTATCCTACGCTTCATATGAATCATATCACATTATACAGATCTCGGTCAGGGCCAGGGTTCTGGAATTCATTCCCACTCGTCCATTCTAGCTCCCACAATAACATGAAGATAGAGGACAGTCCACCGCACCGTAACCATGATTGGGGAGTCTGAATTTCCTAAAAAAAAAGTGTTCCTAATAGCGAGAAGGTCAAGTTAGAAGCTAGGTTGCGTACGGGAAAGGTAAGATATGGTAAGTTATGGATGGTATCATACTTGTACTCGAGCATGGCTTAATTTTAAACCCAGTGTTGCCTGGTCCATCTGTGAGTAGCTCCCCCACTTCCGCCGAAGGAAGGGAGGAAGGATTAGGCTTAATTCTTAATTTAGACAGCTTATCATAATTTGAGCCTGATGGAATTACACCGGTAGTCGGCATTTTTTGGCGATCCAGGTTTTTTTTTTATGGGTTGGCAGTCGAGGGTTCAATCTCCCGCAGAGATCGGGCCCTACTCCCACAGTTACACTACCGGTGTCCATTGCTCACACGTGCAAGTACGAGTAATGTTCACGAATACCGGCACCGCTGCCTTATGTTTTCTATTCCACGGTTGTAAACGGCAGAACGTGCATTCTCGCTCCGCACTTTTGCCAATTTACGGTATTCCCGCCCGCCGGGTGCCCTAGTTTACTGTGCATCTCGGCAGACGAAACAGCGGCCATATGCGCAGGCGTAGCATAGGAGCCCCCATCCCCTCCTCCGTCCTTTGGTAATTGAGATGCTGGCTCACTTTTTTTTTCTCAGCCTTGTTATTCCGTCGGGATGAGTCACCGAATCCGGAAACCAGGCTTCATGGGGGTCATATCTCGAGTACTGTCGTACATACTGTAGGCCTAAAGATGAGCCTTGAGCAGGGGGCGGGAAGAGGTGGGTCTCTTACGATACCGGTACCAGTAGCCTGGTAGGAGGAAGTTAGGGTATCAGGTAGGTTATGGTGCGGGGGCTCTCCCGGATTCCGTGCGAAAGAGAGAAAGCTTAAATTTGAGGTCTTTGTTTAGGTAGATATCGTTGGTCAAATAGTCAGTACACATACCGGTAAACTGCCGTAGGGCTCCAAGTTGCACCCAAGTTCCTGCAATTCGTGACACCGCACCCGAGTATGATATCATAACGTGCTGAGGAGAGCGCCCTATAGGGGGAAAAAAAACAACAGGAAACTGTGGTCAATTTGGATCATAGGGTATGGGACACTCGCTCCTGCTCCGGCACTGCCGCCAGAAAAACCGTGATTCGGGAGGTCCCGATAGGCTTCAGGACAGATCTCTCTAAAGGAGGTTGCCGTCCCAATTTCTGTCATACATGAGCACTCGCATAACACTGATAATAGTGTTTGCCACAGTACCGTTGGTTGTCTGTTGATTTCGGTCAAATTGTCTAATTGTATTTCTCAGCATCCTAAGTCCGACATTTGTAAGCCACTGCTTACCGAACTTGCCTCCCGTCTCAGAGAAGAGGGGAGAACGATCGGCAAAGATATTCTTCCGTGATGTTGATTTACAGTAATGGAAGGATGTATATATGGACGGTGCCCTAAGTTTCTATCGTGAAGCGAATATTGAGGTTGGGGTTCCTCCCTACACAAAATTCGGACGGAAGAAACCTTCAGGCTCATCACCATCTCAAAAGAAGGAAACAGGGATACGGATCAACCAAATCCAGCAACGCACCCGTGGGGAAAAAAAAACCCCCATTGCGGCTCTGGGTATCAGCAACTACCGTACCCCACCGTTCCTCCCTCCCCAGATTCCCAAATCCACTACCGGTAGACCACCTATCCCACAATAGCTATCCCCCCCGCTCCTCCCCTCCAGGCGGTAAGAAGAAAAATGCCAGCAAGCACAAACACAGATCACTCGGAAGACCCTGAAGAAGCCACAATAATCAACCCAGATGAAGCCGAAGAAGTCGTCGAGGACGCGGACGGCGATGTACCCATGGACTCGGACAGCGATGGCGATGAGCCAATGGAAGTGAACCTAGTAAACGACGCAAAGGCCTACTTTGACAAGCACGGCGAGTCCATATTCTCCATCGTCGCGCACCCAACGGATAAATCCATTTTTCTCACCGGTGGTGGTGACGACTTGGCGTACGTATGGACACCAGACCATGTTCCCTCCGATCCCGAGGAAGCCAAGATAATCCCACGGGAAGGAAAAGTCATCGCCCGCCTCGCAGGGCATAAGGATTCAGTCTCCACAGCGGCGTTCCTGGGACGAATTGGCCAATTCGCCGTGACAGGGGGACTGGACGGGAAACTGCAGGTCTACGACGCCGCGCAGAACTGGAGAATGGTGGACGAGGCGCAGGAGGTGCAGGAGGTGAATTGGATATCCGCCCACCCGAGCGAGGTCGCCTTCGCGCTGGGTGCGAACGACGGCTCTGTATGGGTTTACTCTGTCGATGTTGGTGCGGGGAAACTCACTATTAAACAAGTGCTCACCTCGCATACGGCGTCGTGTACCGCGGGTGTGTGGACACCAGATGGGAGATTGCTGGTGACAGTGTCTGAAGATGGGAGTTTCTATGCTTGGGATGTGGATGCTGGGAAGTCCGTTGTTGCGCTGACGGCGGCGGATCAGAGGTTCGCGGTCGAGGGGGGACTCTACTCTGTCGCTCTGAGCCCTTCCGGCTCTGTCGCTGTTGTTGGTGGGGCGACGGGGGAAATGCGTGTTGTTGGAATGCCTACTTCGCAAGCTGCCGCGGGGGCACGCAGGACCGCTGGAAGACCACAGGCTGGGGGTGGAGGATCAGCTGGCGGTGGACAGGCAGGCCAGATCCTCGCAGCATTACATACACACACTGAGAGCGTCGAGTCCCTCAGCTTCCATCCTACGCAGCCATTACTCGCCTCCGGAGGAGTAGATGGCAAAATCGTTATCTACGACGCCGGGCGCGGGTACCCGGTTCGGAAAACCCTTGGCGAGGAAGGCGGCCACCATGAAGCCGTTGTCAAAGTAGAGTTCGCAAAGATGGATGGATGGATCTTGACCAGCTGCGGGGTTGACGGCACGGTACGGCAATGGGATGCCCGCGCTGGGACTGAGCTGTCATGCTGGAGGGGCCATCTTGGTGGGAATGCTGCGGAGGGTGAAGGTGGCGTATTGGGATTTGTACAGACTGCAGAGAGGATTGTCACGGCTGGCGATGAGTATGTCGCCCTTTCGAGTGTCTTTTTTTTGAATTTTTTTGATTGTGAGGTTGGATCAAATGCTAATGATATATACGATAGTGGTGTCGCCTTAGTCTTTGAGGGGGTGAGTGGTGGGGGGATTGCAGCTCCCACAATTACTGGTGCGGTTTTAAGGTAAGGGCGTGTAATTTAGTCTAAAAGTAAAAATAAATAAATCACATATAGATCTTGGGGATGGGTATCTTTGTAAAATCGAGGGCCTTCTTTTGCCATTATTTCGTCCATGCCTTGAAGCCTCCGTCCCTCAAGCTAAAAATCTCCCAAATGTCCCAAATCCTCAAATTCCCCACCCCTGATAAATACCATAGCCCTTCTACCATAGCCCTCACGAGTTGCGCCAAGTTCCTCCACAGCGAGAGAGAGGTGTCACTGACCTCCCTCCCTAGTTCACACCCTATCATACCCACTCCCAGTTCACACCCTATCATACCCACTCCCAGTTCACACCCTAACCCATATATAACGACCACCCAACGTATGATATACCATTTTATACCCCGAACCGCACCCCTAACCTCAACCTCACCCCATCGGTAAACCCCACCCAGAACACACAACGAGAATCAACGATAACAATATTACTCTGATAATATTATCATAACATTATCACAATAACAGAAATAATGCTCATGAAGTCCATTCACACCTACCGCCCAAGCTGGATAAACATCAACCTTCCCAAGCAAATTTCATCAATTCGCATTCACAGGACGAACGAACGATATATCATACAACCCAGCAAGAAAGAAAGAAAGAAAGGGTTTAAGCAACGCCAATCCCCTTAAATCACCCACCGCATCCCATCGTAAGCGCGGGGCGGGGGATGGATGCGGAGCGGGCAATCGGTATAGTACTGTATGTAACTTACTCGGGTACAATACTCGAGTAGAGAAAAGGTAATTTGTACTAGTACGTACAGCACGACTGTACGATACGATACAATACAGCGCCCAGCGCACGGGATGAAAGCCGGAAAAGAAAAAAAAAACTCGATCTGCGGGATTAGTTGTATGGTGCGGTAGGTAGGGTGCCATCGGGGAGCAGTGCGTTTGTGCGGTTGGTGGTACAGATGCAGTGCAAGTACTGTATCGTACATACCTTACCGTGCTCTAGCTATCGTCCGGGACACTGGACGAGATATCGAGTGATATCTAGTGATATCGCGCATACATACATATACACACACACACTCTCTCTCTTGTACTCGTATGTATCACGATGGATACGGAAGTATCGTTCGTTGCGTATGTCTGCTCTTACTGTACAGTTCACTGGATCTATATCTCCCTGAGGGGTAGATAAAAATAAAATAAAAACTTACTCGCGTTCGCTGCTATAAGCTATAAGCTTTGGCTGATGTGCCCGCACTTTTGGAACCGGCGCGGCTTCATCGGCGATATGCTGCACTCTGCAGTAAGCATCGCCTCATCTATCGAGGGTATTATGTGCGGGTGCGAACGGGTAAACTGAAGTGGGTCATCGAGGCATCTGGGAATCGCCCAGCGGGTATGGGATGTATGGTGGTGGTGGTGGTGGGGAGAGTGGAGGGAGGGGTTGGGATGGTATTCGTATTGTGGGATGCGATAGGCGACGTAGTGGTCGGGGTGGATGCTTTCTGGAGGAGTGGTATCGCGCTGAGGTGTTATGGAGAGGACTCCGGAGGGGAGGGGAGGGGAGGTGGGGATTGACTTACTGGGTGGGGAGGGGGAGCGATGTATAAAGCAATGCGCGAGTACGAGTGGCAGTACTGGCACAGGGGTGATAAGCGTTCCATATAATCCCATGATCCGAGAATTGTGAGGAAATATATATATACTCGTATGTCGTGCAGGATGGTGGAGAGTAAAATGGGGTTGATTAAGTCCTGTGGATGACCCGTGGGGATCCCGCCCATTTGAAAAAATCGCGGTAGGACCAGGGCAATCGGTCCCGTTCCTTTGTAACGGGCAAATTTGGCGAGAAACACTGACTTAATCCTGCCTCTCTCCCCCCCCCCCCACAGCCCCTCCTCTCTCTCTCTCTTACTCTCTTCAACCGTATCGCGCCAGTAGTGCGCATATACCTTCCCATCGCAACGTATGATACTTTACGATGAAGTGCAAATCTAGAAAGTACTACCTTGCCCATCCCTACGAAACGCCCCTCCCTCCTCCAATCCAATGGAAGGGAGGAAGGGAAGGAAGTGATCAGCCTTACCCACCTGCATGCCACAATTGCGCAACACCACCATCACTGATAAGTGCGGGCAGACAGATATACGATAGGGGATCCACCCGTGCAGTCTAGATATATAGAAAAGAAGGAAACTCGGGACTGAGTTTATTCCCCTATTTTGTCTCGTTTCGTTCTCGGTTGCGCGTGCCTGAGCTGGGACCTTCTTTTTCATCCTCTTTCTCCGGGAGGCTGGTTGTGTGCTGTGATAGAGGGCAAACTGGGCGGGGGGAGGGAGAGGACCGGAAGGGTTTCAGACTCCATTATATGGCACCACTAAACCGTTGTGGAAGTGCTCTTGGGGGGGTGGTGTGGACGTGATGATCATCCCAGGAGGGGAGTTGTGACGATCATGATGGCGGCGGTAGTGCTCGTGGGTTATCGTGTAAGAGGCTGAGAAATAGAAAGGGAGCAAGAGAGGTCAGCCACTGGTACGATGCTATGGAAGAGTACTGAAAGGGAAAGTACAAGAGGAGTCAGTCAATCGGGATTCCGGGGGGGGGGGTTTTTTTGGTAATTCCCTTTAAAGAAAGAGAAAGTGGGATAAACAGGAAGTAAATAGGGTGGGCGATACGATGATGGGCAATCCAGGACTTCCACTTCTGTTATATGAAGCTTTTGGTTGGTCTGCTTCACCTATTCTTTTTGCGACACAGTATCACGGCCGTAGGCGGGGGCTTTGTACGATCGCACTTTTATTGTACCGTGTGATAGTTCTGCTGACTACCTGTACTGTACAGTACTGTACTAGTACAGCAACCAATTAACGAAAATGTTCAGAACCCAGATAAAAATTCTCCAACGAAAAACAGGAAGAAACGTCAATAAACTATTATAACCGGTAATGTAAGCTAACAACTTGCTCGTATGATACAGTAAACAAACTTCCCGTTTTATCCCTCCTAAATCCAGAAGGCAAGAGGGGAAAAAGAACCCCCATCTATCATAGCCATGATACCATAGAGGCCATTACTCTAACCTCCGCATCCCAAATTCGAACCACACCCAAGCACCAAACCACACCAACTCCGAAGATAAGCAGACATCCCGCCAACAATTTTCTTCTTCTTCTAATATCAACTTTAAACTCCGACCCGATCCAACGCGGCGTCACAGCTAATAAGTAATAGATCACCTATTGGCCCCGTCCCTCCCGACGCACGCACCATGCAAAGCACAGGACAATTGACCTGACTTGGATTTATTTCACTTGGGATCTCGTGGAGCCTTGCAGTGAAAGCACAGCACCTGGCAGGGGGGAGGGGTGTTGGAAGCAGAGCCTTGATCTGTTCTCCTCGTATCATTGTGGGACGGTTTACTTGGTTGGCCAATTGCTTTCGGGGGAATTGTTCCCATGCTCCTGGAACGGGGTGCGCTTTGGACGGATGGGAGGAGTGGAGTTGGGTAGGGTAGGGTAGGGTAGGGTGGTGTCGTGTGCCACGATCTCTGGGTGCTGTGTCGTATGGGGTATGGGTTTTGAAGATATTAGGGAGATAAGGGAGGTTTGATACTATTCAAGTGAGTAAGCGAACTCTATCCCAGATGGCCCAAGGATGGATGGATGGATGGACGAAAAGGATTTATTCGAAATTGCAGAAAAGGGGGAATCCTAATTTCCAATCTCGAATCCTCGGCTTTTCTCTCCTTCCGAGCGAGAGGAAGAGAGGGTTGGTAGGGGAAATGCTATCATGTCATGAGCAATCCCACGTCGGGCACTGGCATATTCACCGACCATCACTCGAGCTCGGAGTCGAGTTAATGCAGCAGGTCTCAGTCCTTTTCCTTCGTTTTCCCTTCTATCTGGTCCTCGTGCATTTCTCCGAGACGTGGGGTTACGGCGGGAGTAGCGAGGCACAAACGGGCTGAACTTGTGCCATGTTGTGCCCGCCCTGTAGTCCGAAAGCATGGCTACCCGCCATAACATAATCCCATGCTGAGCTCTTCCGCTTCACTTACTTGACTTACCGGAGTTCCATACCCTCATAGCCCGCTGCGCTCATCATCCATGTTTCGATCGGCAAGGACGGGTCCCGGACCCGGGGACAGGGCACATTTCATCAATGGAGATCCCTTCCTCGTAATCAATCAATCAATCAGTCAGATTCCTGACGTTGGAGGTGCAAGAGCGAAGGGGCAGAGTATAGTCCACGCGCTTTGACTTTGGTCAGTGACTTTTCGATTCCCTTTCCCCACCACCACCAGAAAATCGCCGTGATGATTTACGCAAGATACGGTACCACCTGTGCCATGGAAAAGGGTGATTAACAAGCTAATGGGAGATCAATCCAAAATGTTTTTTTTTTCTTCACTTCTTCTGAGGATCCCCGGATCATGGGTTATGGCACAGTACTACCGGTAGTCTGATACCAGTCCAGTGCAGTACAAATACCGGTGCTAGTAATAATGGGTTTAATAAGTGAGTGATTCCCCATTTCCCCAACCTTCGATTTTCCTTCGATTTGGTTTCGCCCCCCTCGCTTGCCAGCCATATTCTCTCCTTCACTTAATTTACCGTGTCATACTTCCCTCCCCCACTCACTCACCCACCCACACCCAGAGAACGCTTGCTTGCTCTCGTTGGGGGGAAAGGAGAGTAAAAAGGGAAACGGGTGCAGAGGGTCACTTGACAGCCTCTGGTGTCAGTTATTTTGTTGCTTTTTTTCTTCTTTTCTTTTCGTTTTCTTACATAACCCGGCTCCATCGATTTTTATTTGATTTCCCTATTTCTTTTTGCCAAGCGGGCTCTGTAGGCGATCGCTCTGGGTCAGTCCTCTCAGTCACCTCGATCACTTGTCGCTCCTCGACTCCGCTTTTCGAGGGCATCCTGGCTCCTCAGTAGTCCTTTTTTCCTCTTCTTCCCCCGTCTGTTCATCGGTGTGTCCGCTCGCTTGATCTGATCTGATCTGATCTGTGTGAGCGAGTGGTGAGCCAAGTGAGAAAGCTACGTTGCGTGTGTCTCTCTCTTGTTGCCCCACTTTAGACTTGAGGAGAAAGGAAGAGCGAGGGAGATTGAAGAGAGAGAGTGTGTGTGTGAAGAGAGAGAGAGAGAGAGAGAGAGAAGAGAGAGAGAAGAGAGAGAGAAGAGAGAGAGAGAAGAAGAAGAAGAA